GCTTATTAAAGTTGCAGTTCAGTTTCTCTACAGTTGTATTTTGATGTAGTTTTATTGCTGCTGTTCTTGTGTCGTGTTGTGTTGTGTTGTGTTGTGTTGGTTGGCCTTATCTCGTTGCGTAATGTTTTTTTGATGTTGGCTGATGAAAAATGACTTGAGTGTGTAGTTATGACTGTGCAGTCGATTAATCACTATCGAACAACGCTATTGGCGTGTGCAATCGATTAATCACTATCGAATATCGCCATTGGAGTGTTGCGCACAGAAGGCGGTCGCTATGATGCCAACCGAATTGTAACCCAAGTAGGATGTAAAGGTAAATGCGTCCCTGTGCTTACCTAATTAAGCACTACGCTATGGAGGCGTATGGGGGTGTGGATATATAGATCCACGTTTTCTTGACCTCGGCACTAGTTGGTGGTGATTAGTCAGCTTCACTCCCTGGACGCTTTACCTCCGGGGAAAGAGCCCTCGATGACCTCCTCTGTGGTCTAGTGGTCAGAGTCCCTGCCTACAGATTCAGAGGTCGGGTCGATTCCCGGCGCTACCAGATATTCAGAGAAGTAGTGGGTCTGAAACGGGGTTCACTCAGCCTCGTGAGGATAATTGAGAAGCTGTTTCAAGGAAATAGCGGCTTCGGTATAGAAAACCGAGATTAACGGCCGTGGTAATTCGTTGCGCTGACCACGCGGCACCCCCTATCCGCAAAAGTTGGCACTGTCTTCGCCGACAAGCGGCGGTCGCTCGGTCGATATAGTTCGCTTGAGGACTGAAACCACGTAGTTTTTGGAGCTTCCGGTACTCATTGGATAGGAGGCTGGGCGGGCCCCAAAGCCGGTCTGGACGACGTAGAGAAGAGAGAATTTTTGACCCTATCGGGACTCCATCCCATAGCCAGTCGGTATCCCGGTTCCCACTGCATTAACAACTGAAGCTGGCTTTCTTGTTCCGCCATATTCCGTCCCTGTTAGTAACTACTGTCAGCTTGTGGCTGGTGACATAGTTAACTATAGAAAGGCGAACGGTAGCCTTGTGCTGGTATGGATTAATGTGAACAGTCCGTGTGTTGATTTGCTGTTCCAGACGACGACGTTGAGAACTTCCGCCGTCTCGCGGTCGAGGGGCGGTCCGACTGTGGAGAAGCTGTCGTTCCACAACCACACGGAGTGCGCCTGCGTGGATCGACTTGAGGAGTTCATGCCCAGAGACAGGCCGAGCTCCGGCAACGACAAGGATAATGTGGGAGTGCACGGGTTTCGAGGCTATTATCGCCCCGACGCCGACAGGTAGGAGATGTGAGGTCAAGAGTTGGGATTTGGGCTCGTGTATTGACCCCGTGTAGTCTGGTATGTGGTTACCAGTGTTTTGGGGTGAGGTATTTTTATTTTCCCTGTAGAAACACGGATGCATAATTCCCAGTTCTGAACTATTTTTGACACTTCTTATCGTCAAATTATTTCAATACATTGTTCAAGAATTTGGTTCTGTTTCTTTCATCAGGTGATGGGATGTACGTGTAAGAGTGTTACACAGCGGAGTCGCTGGGGTTGCGTTCTAAAGATAGCGCGTGAACGCAGAATCGCTTATAGTCAGAATTACTCTTGAAATCCCTTTAAATCGCCCATAAGGTACATACATTTTTATGTGACCTGTAATATGTATAATATATTGTATGATTGATGTTATAATAGGAGCCGAGATAGCGGAGTCGGTATTGCGACTGGCTACGAGCAGGACCACCGACTGGCCGGGTTTCGGTTCTCAGTAGGGTTTCTCTTCTCCACGTCGTCCAGACCGGCTCTGGGGTCCACCAAACCTCTGATCCAGTGGGTACTGGGGGCTCTTTCCTTGGGAGTAAAGCGACCGGGGCGTGAAGTTGACCATTCCCCGCCAGCTAGTCCCGAGGTCAAGAAAATGTAGAACTATACATCCACACCCCCATACACCTTCATGGCATAGTGCTTAATTAGTTAAGCACAGGGACAGCTTTACCTTCTTTAGAACTAGCAGGTTAATTATTGTAAGAACCATGGGAAAGAAATCAAGTTTTAAACCTGAAGAAGGCCAGTTATTGAATAAGCACGAACAAAGTTGGAACCAGCCACATACACAAAACAAGGCCGCATGGACAGTAATAAAAATTCAACAGTTTCAGTGAAGCCAACCTTAATAAGAACATTTGTAATTTGTATTTAGTAGTACCACTTATCAAATCGTGGGAGATGACATAGGGCATGTAGCATGCATGGGGGAGATGAAAAATGCGCACATAATTTTAGCCGGAGAAGCGTAAAGGGAGATATATTCGGGAGACGTAGGCATGGGCAGGAGGATAATATTGTGGCGACCGTTTCTGGGCAGCGCTCCCGTTGCTAGACAACAGATTCTTAATAATGCAGCAGTTGGACTACAACAATGGGAACTAGGCGTTTCTACGTGGTCCGTGCCGAAGGCAATTTGAGCGTCCCAGTTCTGTACGGGAGTCAGTGAAAAGAGGACTTGAGAGCGGAAGCTGAAGAATATCCAGTGTTAGAAGCCGTAGCCAGAGAACAGCTGGTGGGGACATAGCAAGCAGAAAAAGGCACAGCGGGTGCTGTATTGATTTTGTGGGGATTAGCGGTGGCGCTGTATATGCCGGTAGTTCCGAGTTGTGTGTATAAGTGATCAATAAATCCAGCCGTCAATTCATACCCCGTCTATAGTCACAAACACTACTCATAGTATTAAGATGGTTATTCAGAAATGGAGTTCCAGGATGCGAATTTGAGTTTTTATGTCTGTGCAATCAGAATCCTTCCTTTAAAGGGAATTTACGGACACGCTGTATAACAGTGATGAAATTTTTCATACAGGAAGGGTAGATATATAATTTTCTACAAGTTGTTTGCGGAAAAAAAAAAAAGCATTTCATCTGATCATATGTCTTGACGTCTTATTGCATGAAGAAGTGTAATTCAGAGGAGAGTGCTTGAATTTGAACCGTATTTCCATCCCTGTTAATTTATGTTTACGACATTTTATAACTAACATCATATCTAGTTTGCCTTCTCAGCGTCTAGTACACTTACATATACTTTCAGTTCCAAGAGGTGATGATGTCTTGTTATTTAGAGGAAAAGCTCGGTGGAATCGCAAATTACAGCCTTTAACAAGACATTCATTCATTGCGATGTTACGTTTTGCCGCAGGTAAAATTATCCAATTAGTTCTAAAGACTGACAGATCAGTTTTTGACATTAAGAGGCGGTAATACAGCATCCCTAAGGGAGGTACATAGACTGAGGGGCTATGAGAACAGGGTGTTGAGGGGAATATTTGGACCGAAGAGAGATGAAGTGACAGGAGGTTGGAGAAAACTGCATAATGAGGAGCTTCATAACTTGTACTCTTCTCCAATTATAATTAGAATGATCAAGTCAAGGAGGATGAGATGGGCAGTGCATGTAGCACGAATGGGGGAGATGAATGCGTATAGGATATTGGTGGGAAAGCCAGAAGGAAAGAGACCACAAGGAAGACCAAGGCGTAGGTGGGTGAACAATATTAGAATGGATCTTAGAGAGATAGGATGGGATGGCATGGATTGGATTTGTCTGGCTCAGGATAGGGACCAGTTGAGGGCTTTTGTGAACATGTTGATGAACGTTCGGGTTCCATAAAATGCTGGGAAATTCTTGAGTAGGTGCAGGATTGGCGGCTTCTCCAGAAGGGCTCAGCTTCATGAGTAAGTGAGTAGAGCACCATCACTTCCTCAAGACCTGCTTAATTAAGCACAAGGATAGACCTAACTTTACCTGTCCTTAAGAGAAGCGCAAAGGCGTAAAGAATACGTCAGGGCTCCGCGTTGGCAAGTTTATTGCCTGCTATATGATGTCCTTTATAGAAATGGCCTCTACGCGCCTTAAGAATGTAGGCCTCTTCATAAAAAGCAGATTGTTCGTTGACGTATTATTGCCTGCATGATGGGCAGTGTGATGGAAGCGCCCATTAATATCGCGCGTGTTCATTATTCTGAAGCCCTCGGTGTTGTGTCAGCCTGTGACAGTGTCGTGCCCGCAGTATATTCCCGGCTTTCTGAAATAAAACTGGAAATGTTCGCCATATTTGGTGCCCCATCTGGCACGAGCCGCACCAGTCTCTATCGCTTGTTGCGAATTCTAATGATTGTGCCCATTTTAAAGTATAAGAATGAAGTTCTAAAGTCTGTTTTTTGTCGTGTTACTGAAGTTTGTTGTTCTGTTCTTCGATGGCATTTTGTCGGTGTAGTTGATTATCTGTGTGGTGCCCATTTATTGACGCTGTATTTACTACTGAAATTTTGTAATGTAGGAGATGCCCTCCGTTCAAAATTCAACAGGAAATCTGATCATTTGTTATATAGGCTTCCATATTTCTACCGCAGTCATTTCCCATTCTGCGGTATTATTATTATTATTATTATTATTATTATTATTATTATTATTATTATTACGTATCCTGGTAACGCGAAAAGTAATTAATGGGTTTCGGATTAGATGGATCGATTTATTTGACAATTTTACAAGTAGGAACATTAGATCATTATAACACACTCAAAACAAGGTCCTCACTACTGAACTTCAGACCTATTTGTCCGAGTTCTCGCTTCTGAACTCTTTTGACTCCACTTCTGGACTCTGCGTCTATTCACGAATGCACTCTACCTTCTACCTGCTTGGCGTACCGAATAGGGGACACAGAGTTAACAGTTCATCACCCCGTTGTCATCAAAACGACACCTCCGTTGTGCAGGAAACATCTGTGTTCGTTGCTTATGAGGCGTCTGTTTTTAGAAGTCGCAATCTATGCAATGGATTCACATGTCACAGTATTGTGTTTCTGTCGAGTTCGACGTTTGACGCAGTCTCCTACGAATAACCCATAAAAATAGTAATATAAATCGACACCCTCATATAATGTGCTGCACTTCACATATCCTCGTCAAAATACCTGTTATAACTACCGGATTTGGTGTTGGTTATGTGTTGGTAGGTGATTCCTTGACAATGAATTATAGGACTTAAAAACATCCGACTGAGAAAATGAAGCAGTTTCTGCTAAGACCTCTAATGATCCTATTTGTCCGATGCTTGTTGGCAGGATTCTCACGGCATTCAAATTATATGCGAGTTCAGATGCAAACAAAAGAACCTCCCTGGCTTTAGTCCTCAGGCGAACTATACCGACCGAGCGAACGCTGTTTGTAGGCGAAGTTAGTGTCAACTTTTGCGGATAGAGGGTGTCAGTGTCCCTACGGCCGTTAATTTCTGTTTTCTAGACCGGAGCCGCTACTTTTCCATTCACGTAGCTCATCAGTTATCATCATGAGGCTGAGTGGACCACGTTCCGGACCCACTACGAGTAGTTGAGATGCAGACTTATTTTATTTACTTTCAGACCTTAGCTTGTTGTATTTAGTGGCTTATAAATTAATACTGTTAATGTTACCTAACGTTTCGCCTTCATGTTCGCAGTAGCAACAGAGAGAGCAAGTCTTGTCGATGCCCTAGTCAGTTTTCTGCGCGACATGTAGATGGCTCTTGCGTCTGCGAATGTTTCGACAAGCAACGAGACTGCATCCGGTCGAAGCGCGGCAAAGAGTATCTTCCGCACGATGATCGCATGTAAGTATTACTGTCAGTAACAGAATTCCGTTCTACCACCAGCACAATTGCAGGGGGAAGTAACTCTAGGATCTGTTTCACAGTTTGGACTCATTTGGCATGTCTTGTCTGTCACAGATGTATCATGCGAGGGGAGTGTGTAGCTCCTACCTGTGAGTTCGGGACCTATCTGAGGAGGGCAGGCCGCTGCCCGAGGAAACGGGAGAAGTTCGAGGCCTGGCAGCAGTATCCGTTACACGACGAGGAATACAAATAGACATCAGAAGTGTGCTTCAAGTCATAAACAGGCGTCTGTTAGGAGAGATTGTAGGAGAATCATCACAGAGTGTCCTGGCAGTGGATTTGACATGCTTGGTGCTTGAATCACACTGTCGTTATTGGTGATTTTATTAGCGAACATGTGCACCTGAAGTGTGTCATGATTCAGTACATAGTGTGACATGTCAACCCGTTGTTGGGCGACGGGATGTGGAACGAGGTTATGCAACCTGCTTCTAAGTGTCAGCCTGCCCGGGAGTCTTGGTTTACTGGCTGACACTTAGAAGAGGGTTGCATAACCTCGTTCCACATCCCGTCGCCCAACAACGGGTTGACATGTCACAGTATTAATCGAATTCATGTTAAACTTTGTTGAAAGTGAAGAGTTGTTATGCCATAAAATCAAGTATAACTTCAAAATGTAGCCAGTGAGACATTCTCGAAATGCGCTACAAGCTGTGAGTTTTGACGCAGCTAACGATGCTGAGCTGTAATAACGTAAAATTACGTAAAGAATGTGTTCACAAAGTGCCATGTAACATTTTTCGTTATTGAAGACTTATATTCTCCCTAGTTCTAACAATGCAAATCATGATGTGTCTGTGAATTTTCCAGTTAAATTAAATTTAACTGTTTTTAATGTAGTTGTAACGGTTACAATTTTGTTTGCACTGAACAGAAAATGTATAGTCATTTTGTAAACTATTACTGCATAACAAATTTTAATGTGGAATTACGAAGTAGGTCTGAATGGGAGAAATGTCAAATTATGTAGAAATTTGTAGTAATAACTAAGAATTGAAACCCACAGATTTCAAGCTTAGAGAGACGTTTCATAAATGTAAACTTTATAGAAATATTTAAAATCAGAATAATACTTGTGACTTTTATTTTCAAAATAAGACTTTTGACATGCAAAATAGAATTCAAATTTTATAAGGCATGTTTGTGGAATTGTTTAGTTTACATTTTTAATCTAGTTCAGATGGTGGAATTTTCATGTTTTGTCACCTACAAAACTTTATATAATTACGGTGATAAGTTCATAGAACCAAGCTGTGAGAATTTTGATACAATTTATACGTTTTAAAATCCTGTATATGAATATATTTTAAGGAATATTTACTGTGGAAAGATAATACATTGCGGTATATAGATACTTAAGCACAGGCTTCAAAAAGGCTTCAGCTTTTATTAGGTGTGTATAATGTGTTTGGTGCTGTTGCATACCCAAAGTATCCTTAAATTACTAAATATCCTGTTGCTCCCTTGATACAATTATAAAAAGCTTTTGTTTTGATCATAAGTACACCTTAGTGTGTAAGAATTGATTTAGAAGGAGTTCTTGTGAAGGTTCCTTCTTTAGCGGCAGAACCTTCTTCCACAGATTAAGAAGTATGGAGCTTATTGGTCTGAAATGACACTATTTTGAAGGAACAGGAAGCCACTAAAAGTTGTGGAATTTGATTCGACTTTTCTAAAATTGATATTTGGGCGCAATGAGTTCTTAAGAAGGAGTTTTCATAAGACAAATACATCACCTTCATTGATAGATTTGTTCTATATCAAGGGTCTTGAACAAGCGGCCCGTCACTTAAATGTATGCGGCCCTTGCACCAAACTTTTTTCTAATTGTAGAACGTGGCCCGCCCCAGTGTTAAATAATATATTGAAGATACACCACAGAGTGTTAATACTATGTGTTCCCACGCAAGCACTGAATTGCTGATAGACAAATCCTTGTTTCAGTCTGGCCATTTTGTTACTGTACCGGCTGCCAGTAGTGGAAGTGCAGGTTTCTCTTCTTTACCCCTAAACACGTTCGCGGTCATAAATTGAAAACACATTTGATAAACTGACCAGTATGGCAAGGGGGCACTATGCTACAAACCGGAATGTCGCGGGTTCGAGTCTAGATGATTTGTATTTTCTTCAGTTTACCGAATCCTTTCAGCCGCACTATGTCCTTGAGGTCGACTCAGCCTCTTAAGAGAAATGAGTACCAGGAATCTTGCTGGGACGTAGAGGCCCGTCGACGCGTAAGCCTCATAATCTTACCGCCATCTGTGAGCCGATTGTGTCAACCCAATGAGCCTCCATGGCCTGTTACAAGGATAGTTTTACGTTTTAAAGTTTTGCAGTACAGCAAATGGACCCAGTTGAATGGGATATTCAGAAGAGATCATCGGTTTTCATAATGGTGACCATCAATATTAATTTCTGTAGTCTGGTAAAAATTTACTGATCAACTTCAGGTAGTTATAAAGGGATAGAAATAGTTTACAACGTACCACCTCACGGATAATATAAAAAATATGTGTTTGTGGCCAGTGTAGAGCGAAACATGTATTGACAGTAAGTGAATAAAAGCCACAGCCCCCGAACGTAAAACAAAATGTTTTGTTCAGAGGGGCCTGAGTTCTTACAACGCGGTAGCATTTTTTCCGAGGATACCTTTCTGAGGACCTCCCATATTTCAAGATAACTTTTCTAATGGGAATGTGAAGTAATTTTGGGGGTGTTCTGCATTATTTCAAACTTTGCACATAAACTGAGATTTATTCATATTTTTATATCATTTCAAATTCACATAAAGCGGAACCGGAAGGTATTTTTGTTGATACGGTAAAATTGCCCCCTGTGCTTTGTTGCATACCGCAGTAAACCACGCAGGTGTATGAAAGAGTGGACATGTTCCACCCATTCATAACCTCTGCACTGGATAGAGGTGTCCTAGGCGTAGCACCCCGGCGGAAGGTATCCGTTTTTCCACCGGATAGCAGGCTCAGTGGATCACGGATGTAATCTAGATGCAGTGGAGAAAAGTCTCTGCCCAGCTGAACAATATTTTGGTTTAGCAGGGTTTTCAAAGATAAAGACGTACAGTTCATTCAAAGATTTGTGTTACTCCTTGCTCGGAAAATCAGAAGTGCTACTGATAGATACGGGATATGGTTCTGCAGTAACATGTATAAATGGTGATATAAAATACAAATATGAACAAAGATTAAAAATATGCTGAAAGCAGACGAATGCGACCAAATATATATATATATATATAGGTAAGTTATTCCAATTTATAATTTCAGTGGCTGATTTAGTATATTCAACACAATTACAACGAAGTCTCTGAAGGGCGGTATCTCGCTACGATGCCAACGGGAGGCCATGGCTCAGCTGCCAGCATCACTGCCAGACTCAATGTATTTAGTAGTCATATCGCACCTGGCATCGCTGTCAACAAAGATTACAAGTGTTAGGGTTTCTGGCATAGCTGCCACGAAGGCAAAGGCCAAATCATCATCACACGACAATCAGGCCAGTCCATTGACGTCCGTCTGTGTGTTCTGGCATCTCGATGCCATGGCATCCTAGCGCGATACCACCGTAAGTGCTCTCTTAAAATTTTAGTAAAATTGTTTATTTGCGACGCTAAGGAGGATATGTTACTAAGTTACGTAATAGAATTGCTACCATGGTAATATGACTTTACCTAAATAGTGTTACTGACACGGATAAATTATCTGCANATCTCGATGCCATGGCATCCTAGCGCGATACCACCGTAAGTGCTCTTTTACAATTTTAGTAAAATATTTTCTTATTTGCGATGCTAAGGAGGATATGTTACTAAAGTTTCGTAATAGAATTGCTACCATGGTAATGTGACGTTACCTAAATAGTGTTACTGACACAGAAATTATCTGCCAGATCTATATAGGTGATTAGTTAGTCCACAGGGAGACAATTAACACATTAAACATACGAAGGCAGAGGTTTCAAATCTTACACAGGCCAAACGGATAATTTTTAAAACAGGAAGCGCAAGTCATTTTCAGAGAGGAAAAGAAATTTAAATTGGGCCCAATAAACATGTCTATGTTATATTCGTTATTACGGAAATGTTGGTTTATTAGTGTTTACTGTTATCCATGTTAGAGTGTTATCAGTTGCGCAGGCATGTAGCATAGTAACATATCAGTAAACTACAATTATTGAAAATAAGTTCTGATGGATATAGAACAAACTGTTGATACAGCAGGTTGTCCAACATTGATTGAAAATGCATAAAAATAACGGACGCACATATTACGAGTATTACACATTTAATCCTACTAAAGAATTACACGTTATAACGAAAACTCGGATATATGTTCCCCAGCTGAAAAGAAAACTAAAACGCATGAACGTGTCACCCCTACCATTACCGAAAGACAAACCAATTATATCCTTTCCTGGTGTGCTCCTTGATTATGTATGTTAACGAGACAGAAAAGATACAGAGATGGCTTAAGAGTTGGAAGACTATTGTACGAAGGAGGGAGCAGTGGAAGGAAATTGTTGTCTTGGGTTGTAGAGCTGTTTTATAGAAGAAGCAGAAGAGAGAAATGCCCAACTGGCATCATGCGAAACGGTACACAGTTCCACGAAGAGTGGAATAGATAAAAATAAAGACAAAAGAGGAACGAGACAAAAACTGGGTTTTCGGAGACAGAATGCCGGCACATTTATAGGACAGCATAAACTTCATAGAAAGTAGAAAGAAGTGACTGGGCCTTCTAGAAGTTATGTTTTATCAAATACAAAATCAACATTTGCCAAAATGCTGACTATAGTGTGTAACGAGTGTTATCAAAATAGCTACTGTCGTAGATAAACAAATACAAGCACTGATTACCATAAAACTTTAAAATGCTGTTAGAAACGTTGTGGTTGCTCCTTCCGACCGATCGACCGACCGCCGCTAGCCAACGAAGTTAGTACCAACTATAGCCGATAGATGGTATTGGTTTTCTAGACTGGTGCAGTTATTTCCTTGATAGTTGGCTTGCGGACCCAAGCCACGGAGTCTGTTTTGTTTTTTGTTTGTGGTTCCTCCTAAAATGGGTTGCAAGTGGGATAGGAGACGTGTAAACATCCACATTTGTCTTCTTCGAATGCAAACTACTGCCATCATTACTTAAGTAGGGTAACTAGATAGGCTGGAACCAATCACAGACCTCCATCAGCAACCTATCGAATCGGATTTGTCAGAACCAATCACAGAGTCATATCTAATCGCATACAATTTTATATTTCGTTAATGGCGGTAGTGCATATTGAGTGTAAATTTTCCTATAATTACGGTGTCTTGTTAATTTTTTTAATTGGTAAGTATCGTTGATTTTATGTCCTGAAATATGAATCGACTTGTACGTAAGACATTAAATGTATATGTTATTTCTGTATATGAACGGTATGGCTATTACGCCGGTAGAAAATATGTATTCAAAGTCAAAAATTCTTTTTGCGATATTTCATCAAGTTCTGAAGGTCTTTAGGATCACGAATCTCTGAAGTGTACTGTGATTGTGTTGTAATGTCTGTATTGTTTCTTGCGATATAAAGGGAAAGGAAGAAAATATGCTCTGCCCCGGAGTGCGTGTCATCCAGTGGGCAAAGAGGAATGAAATTCTTACACTTTCCCAATGATTCAGCACTGTATGCCTGTTTCGATTCATGATGTAATGGCTTTATTGTGTGTTGCTTAATCCAACGAAGAAATTAAATTTAGCCAATGTCAGCAATAAATGTATTAAACATAACCCCACAATATAGCATCTATATCATGATTGTAATGTTTAGTGATTTCTAGGTTGACAGTATGTTCTATGCTTACAGGGCTGTGGTATGGGCAGGAGGAGTTGAGATATCCTGCACAATGGATTTCTGCTAGAAATCTACACTATAAGCATTTTTGCAGCAGACATTTCTCAGAAAGTGATTTGACTACAGCACCCCACTGCACAGAGTGCTATGAAAGTCAACTAGGCTGCACAGGTTAGGAGCCATACTATTGCAGCAAGTGTCAGTGCTCTACTGGCTACAGGTAAGGACCAATATGCTGTATATTGTGTTACGAAAGAAATGGCTAATGAGAATAATGAGGGATAGTTTTCAAAGTTACTTTCCCCAGAACCCAGTTATGTTCAAACAAACATTGTTGTCATAATTTAGTACGTATTAAACTGTATGTCAATACGAGGGGGTACCCAAAAGAAACCGAACTTATTTTTTTAAGCTTATTTATTCAAATTTTAAGCACAAACCTTCAATCCCCTTCAGTGTACTCTCCACTTACACTAATACACTTGTCTAGTCTTTTATTCCATTTTTCAAAACATTGTCTAAATTCATCTTTTGAGATGCTTGACAGCGCCTCCGTCGTTCTTTCCTTCACCTCAGCAACCTCAGCAACATCAGTAAAACGCTTTCCTTTCATGTCTCTTTTCATTCGAGGAAACAGAAAAAAAAGTTTTGATCATTTCGGGACTCTTTTTTCAAAGCACAGCATGCTTCCACGCGACCTTGTTTTTGTTCAGCAGTCAGCAGTCGTGGCACAAATTTCGCAGCCACCCTTTTCATTCCCAAATTGTCTGTCAAAATTCGCTGAACTGAGCTCCAAGTCACTCCCGACAGCTCCACAATTTCTTCAGTGGTCCGTCGTCGATCTTCCTTGATGATTTCACGAATTTTTTCAACATTTTCATGTGTTCGGGCCATGGAAGGACAACCAGAACGAGGTTTGTCATCAATTGACATTTCACCATTTTTGAAACAGGAAAACCACTCAAACACTTGAGTTTTCCCCATAGCATCGCCCTTGTACGGCGTTTTTAACATTTCAAGAGTTTCTGTTCCACTTTTCCCGAGCAAAAGGCAGAATTTCACCGCCACACGCTGTTCACGAAAATCAGCCATTGCAAAAACGATGATCACACAAAACAGTTGTCATCATAAACTCTGCCAAAACTAGTCCTTACCTTCTGAAGCAACGGTAGTCGGCTTATCGACTCAGGAATGTTAGCTCTATGCGCTCGTAGCGGCAAAACGCGGTACTACAAAAGCTCTGCCCACAAAAAAATTAGTTTGGTTTCTTTTGGGTACCCCATCGTATACAATTTACATGTCACAAATACTGATGTTTTTAGGGTAATTAAAAATGTCTAAAAAGCAGAACAGACTATTGATAATATGATTTATGAAAGAATGAGGTGGTAAAGACATTACTATGAGGAATAAAGTAATCAAAGGTACAATTCTTTTATACTGCAGTCCCTTGTAAAGTGTTATTTTCAAGTCTGAAGAAATATGATATTCTATCATGAAAGGAAGCCCTCTATTTTCCTTTTTAATGTTTTCTTCAGGAGGGTGCTGCAGTGATTTTGTGGCAACAGCTGTGTTTTTTTGAGGACAACCTCTTTGATAGTTTAAATGGCAGAACACATGTTGATCCAAGGAAAACACTGCGTTGTCCACTCAGCGATATCAGTCCCTGTATGGATCACTGGAAAAGGGGCAAGTATGGGGAAGAGTAGTTGGATCTTCCTCGAGGCTGGTAAGCCTGCCTTTCCTTAACCTCCTTAACAAAATGGGTGGCTAATTGACATTTCTGCCGCCCAGCACGTGCGCAGAACAGTGTAAGAGGTGGTTTTCAGTGCCTTCATGCCCGAAACCTGAATCAGGATCCACTTGAGAAAACATTTGGGGCTATTCATTCATACTGTGGTTCGAACAGTGACCCAGCTGTGGGTCAGTTTGTAGATACCCTGAAGACTAGCATCATCAATGGCCTTACTTTTAGAGGTCATGTGGGGAACTAATTGTGAGGATGATGGTGCTACTCTTCTGGATAACCTACAGTCGTTCAGGGCACCTGATGCTTCTTCACCAAATTCTTCTACAAGTCATGGCAAGGAAATCCCTGGTGATGTTCCTGAGAGTTTCCATGTTGTAAGATTTGAGGCTTTCACGGCGGTGACTATGAAGAAAGCAGTCTTCTGGGATTTGGCACCGTGTATATGTGGTGTTAACCGACGTTTCGGAGGAATGTATCGCCTCCATCTTCAGGGTAGAAGAAAAAATATAAGAAATCTGCAAGCGAAGAGACCATGAGAACTGGTAAAAGCAGTCACAGTCTGCTTTTACCGGTTCTCACAGTCTCTTCGCTTGCAGATTTCTTATATTTTTTCTTCTACCCTGAAGATGGAGGCGATAGGTTCCTCCGAAACGTCGGTTAACGCCACATATACACGGTGCCAAATCCCAGAAGACCGCTTTCTTCAGTTTCCATGTTGCTCAGCAAGTACAGAGGGACACAAGTGCTGCAGTACATGCTGGGAACATGGAAATGTTCTCTCCCCCTCCCCCCTTCTCTTTGTCTCTGTCTGTCTATCGCTCCCTTCCCCCTCCCTCTCTCCCCCTCTCTTACTCCTATATGCTGGCTGAGAAAGAGGTAAGAACTGTTTTGAAACTCTTTCATATGTTATAAATCCAGGGACTCCTGGCTGATTAATCTTGAACTTAACTTGTGAGGGCAATATTTGACTGTTTGTCATCAGATGCATGAAAATGGGTCTTCTTTGGGGAGTGAACAACAGTAATCACTGAATTTGTCGTTGAGTGAGTAGCATTACTGTTTTATATTCTCAGGGCCTGAGGTTCAAGTTTCAGCCTGGGGACTAGCTATCTTGAGTGAGGTTTTTCATAAGTTTCCTCTATCCTTCCAGGAAAATAACAGAATAGTGTCACAAATTTGGCCACAGCCCTGGTTCCTTACTCTTCCCATCCAGTGTCTTATTTTCCATCTTAGCATTTGACTCTACAGTCTGAACTAATGGAGTGTCATTAAATAAAGCATAAGTAAATAAATAAGACCATAGCATTCAGTATTTCTTTTGGTGCCAGTTCAAAGCAAGAACCCTTGGCTGTGCTGTGTAAACCCAGAGGTTTTTTAAGCCTCTGTGAAGAGAAAATCATTCAGCCAACATATTTCTATTACCCCTGAGAGTCGCCTGCATTTTCTCTTGTTCAAGTTTACTGTTAAACAAAACGCTAATACACAGCAAAAGGTTTTGGCAGAGACGCAGTGTTTACTCAGTGGAAGTAATTTTGTTCGTCTGTCTGCTGTATTGCCATTCAGCTAAATATGTTAAAATGACAAATTTTGTTTCCACAGGCGAAAGCCCTTGAGGAGCTGGATGCAGAGTTTGGCGTGGGTGACCTGGTGGAGGATGAGATGAGGAATGAATGCAGACAGGCGTATTCATCCCGAAATCTGAGAGGCCTCAGAGTGGAACACACAGTTGTGAGTATTATGCTAGTATGAATATTGGGAGAAGCACATTTTCCATATTTGGCATATTGTGTTAATTAGTGGGACTACACTTCAGAGTTGTTAGCAGTCTTACAAAATAATGATCTGCTTGTCTGAGAAGGCCAGCAGCCTCATATCAGCACTCTATAGTATATTGTCACATGATGGCTGAAAGGTGGAATAGCAGGCCCTGAAATTCGCCCATCACTAGGTAACGGCTTTCGACAGTGGAGATTCATCTGCTTCTCGGTTCATGGCTAACCACCAGCTATGAATGCCAGCTCAAGACTGAACTCAGCTGGTGTCATCTTTATATGACCTTGGCACAGACTGCATAGAAAATAGCACTTCCATGAACTCCACTGTTGAGTGACGTGTTGAGCGGGGTGTTTCCTACTGACTGGCTGCTTCTTGTTGACATGGTAGTGTTTTCCGGCCATTGCCTAACAATGGATGACTTTTCTGGGCCCAGTATTCCAGCTCTCATCCATCATGTCACAGTGTGTTCTGGTGGATGCATGATGTTTGGAGTACAGGACTCAGCAGCTTGGCTGTAGCAGTAACAGCCATGATCTGTATTTAGGGGTGCCTTGTTTGAATCTCAGCTGGAGCATCTGGCTAACCTGACTGAGGTTTTTCATGGTTTTTCACAGTACCTCCAGGCAGATGCTGGCTGGAATTAGTATCTCTAATCAGGTGACGACCACCAAGGCTTTTGAATACATTATTTACTAATCATCACCCATTTGATGCCATATAGTTTCCGCTACGAAGTGTGTTGTGAAATCACAAAAAGAAATGCGGTGCAGGTGCAGTTTTGAATGTTATTAATAATTGGAAACTACTTTCAGTGGTACAAGAGATACTGTCCAACATCAAGACTGAGCCCGACGACAGCGAACTGGAACTACAGATAGCCCTTAAGAAAGCACGGAGACTGAAGCTGCAGGAGGCTGTTGCAGAATCAAAGAACAGTATAGAAAAGGTACATCACATCGACAGATTTCCTTCTTAATCCTTTTTACAAATCTCTGGCTGTAGTAGGGGTCATTTCTCTTGACCAGTCAAGGCCAACTTCCCCTTACCTGCCTCTGCTTTTTCTCCCTGAGACAAGAGAGGAGCAGCCCTGTGGATCGGTGGTGGGAGGTGATGAAATGGCCCCTAGCTACAGAATCCTGTTCCATGTTTAGTTCCTACACAGTGTCCATATGTTCCAGTTATAAAATGTTGCACAGAACTTTGTAGTAAAGTTCAGTATGATGTTTCCTTTTTGGTTACTGTACAAAACCATTGTACAGTGGAGAAACTGTTGTAATTTAACCTGAGGGCTGTTAAATTGTTCTGTTGTGGTGGGCCTCAAACCAGTAAATCATATCTTCACATTTAAGTCATATCATCATCCTTTCTTACCATGCTACAAACTGGAAGGTCACGGGTTCGATTCCCAATGAGGTCATTGGATTTTTAAATTGACTGAATCCTTCCAGCCACACTATGTCCCGGGGGTCGACTCAGCCTCTAACAGAAATGAGTGCCAGGGATCTTTCTCTGGGTAAAGGGCATTGGGAATGGAAGGTTGATAACCTCACCACCATCTGTGAGCCACGTGTCAAGAATATATGGGAGCCTTGACATGTCAAAACCCTATGGGCCTCCATGGCCTGTTACAGGGATAGCTTTACTTCTTTTTTATACTATCATCCTTTCTTGTATTTTGTTTATTGAGACCTGTTATGGCCTCCTGTCAAATAGGTACCAGGGGCTCTTTCCCCGGGTGTGGGAGGTGCATGGAACTGACCACTCACCTCCATCTAGTGCTTAATTAATTAAGCATAAGGACAGCTTTGCATTTATGGATACTACAAAACAGAATGCTGTATAGCTACATAATTTAACTGTTTGTGATTTGTGATGTTTGTAGGTGGCAGAGTCAGTGCTGGAGAGAAACTCAGAAGGAAACGCGGAAGGCGGTTCCATTGTGCTGAATGCTACCGCAGAATTCTGCCGCACACTGGGTGACATCCCCACTTATGGTCTGGCTGGCAACAGGGATGAGGACGCTCAGGAACTTCTTGTGAGTGCAATACAACCATCCGCAGATAAATGTACACTTGGGAAGGGCACTTTGATTTAGCATGTGTCAGCACTGGATACAGTCCATTGCCCATCTATACTTACTGCAGCTGCAACAGAATTTGAAAATATTTTAATTACAATTCTTTATTGGGATCTGCTGCAACACAACAAGGAAATAGTCAAGGTCAATATCACCTTAGCTACATGTTTCAGCTTTTAAAGCCACCATCAGGCACTACATGGTTACTGCACTCACTTACTATTGAACTGCATTTCAGTGTGATGGTACAGTGGAGCTGGATACTTGACAACTGTGTTACACTATAATAATATTCCATATTGTGGTTGTTGGTCATTACTGTGTGGTCCCTTCTATGTGTGTGTATACACGAAGTGGCGGTTCTTCTTTTTGTGTTATGCTTCGTGTCCCTCTTGCACTGCATAACACAACAGGCAGAACAACCTGCCACTTCGTATATACAGGCGCATAGAAGGGACCACACAGTAACGATGAACAACCACAATATGGAAGCAGAGCAGTTTCTTCATTTATAATTTTAAAACACCTGATGATGACCTTATAGGTTGAAACATATAGTGAATAACTTTAGTAAGTTTTATAGAAGGATGTGCTGCACATGAGACAGTGAAACAGTTTGATGCTATTTCTAAATTTTGCTCCATAAGGAAGTAAAATTTAAAAATTCGCTTAGTTAGGGGTGGAATCCAGCTGGGTCCACTAGGCACGGCGGCCACTGATTGGCCTGTTGTACTTGCCCCCGGGTGATTTTGATGATGGAGAATTTGGTGGAATGAAGATTGGCAGGGGAAACCGAAGTACTCGGAGAAGACCTACCCCCAGCTCCACTTTGTCCACCGCAAGCCCCACTTGACCAGACCCGGGATCGAACCCGGAGCAACTTGGTGGGAAGCCAGTGACTAACCACTTGAGCTATGGCTCGGCCTTTCCATAAGGAAGTAAATTGTAATTATTGTTAAAAAGTCCATGATTCCATATAGCAGATAGATATCCATCCACACTTTTTGTGTGTTCATTTTCTGCTGGCTGCAAACATGCACAGTAGCTTCAGTCCTGGGACAGAAGCGAATACAGCCACATTATGGCATGTAAGATGGAGCCTGCTCATAAAGCACACAGCATATTTGTTCAGTTGTCATTAGGCTAGCAGACCTGAACACAGGCCATGGGTTGGAAATTGGGAGAAATTGAAGACTTCATGCAGCAGACTAACTTAAAATTTGGCCAGCTGTTAGGATAATCTGTGACAGGTGCTGCATTTACTTCAGCATGTTTAGTGGCAAACAGAATGTGCCCCATCTGAAGTGTCAAATATTTTTTGTTTCTAGTTGATGAAACAGATGAGCTCAACAGACACCCCACTTGGAACGCTTAGCCTCTTGCAGCAGAAGCAGAAAGAAACACAATCTCCATTTGTGGTCCTTAGTGGCAGTAAACAAACCTGAGTATTGTTTTTGTTTCCTATTCATTCAATTAATTCAAAAGAAGAGCCAGTTTTAATTAGGAAAATGCAGTTCTGTTCATTAACTGACAGACTTAGACACGAGAACACAGATTACTTGATGAAACCAGTCAGCTCAATTCAAAATTTGTCTAATCTTGACATTGCAAATAACAGTAATTCATAGCTTTAACTTAAAGGCTGAGTAGATGGGAAGCCATATAGTAATGTCGATAGTGTCATCTGGTGATTACGAGTATACTGCCGCAAATTAAATATTTGTTTTTCTCTGAGCATATCACTTGTCTTGTTATAATTTGTAGACTGTAGACCATAAAGTGTCATTTTAATGATGGATTGACTAATGAGACTTTCCTCCTTGGTACTGTGAAGCTTTACTAAAAATTTCTGTTTTTGATGCAGAATATGAAATTTTATTTTCAAAAAGAAAACCACCATGTGAGGTTTTTGTGAGATCTTCAAGTTTAACATGAGCATTATTGGTAGTGGGGTGGGACTAAGTCCCTTGTACTGTGGCCACGNCGGTTAATCCACCCCCGGATAATTGAGAGTTGACTGTACTACTTTTAATAAAATTTGTCTTAACCGGGTTTTCGATCAATCGTGATTTCCATCCCCACCATTATCCCGGATAATCGAGAGTTGAGTGTAAATGTAATATCTTTTTAACTAAGATTAAGATAGACTTTAAAGGATTCTGATGATGGTGTATGCTGTACAGATCTATAAGGTTTATTTTGGACTCTATCCATTGTCTGGTATATATATAAGGCAAAAAGCCACAACATTTTGGAGACTGGATCTGTCTCCATCCTCAGCTGGATCAATCCAGTGACTGAGACTAGCTCTTTCTAACAGGCCCACCTGAGTAGGTGGATCTTGCCTCATCCACCTCAGGATGGAGACAGATCCAGTCTCCGAAATGTTGTGGTTTTTGTCTTATATATACCAGATGATGGATAGAGTCCAACATAATCCTTATAGATCTGTGCAGCATACATCATTGTCAGAATCCTTTAAAGTCTATTTGTGTAACCGGTATAGACCTGGGATATACCCTTCTTTTAGGAAACTAGAACATCTAAAAATCAGGTTGGCAAAAACCCTGAATCACATAACCTTTCTGATGAGGTGCAAATCTCAAGGTCCAGTGACTGAGACTAGCTCTTTCTAACAGGCCCACCTGAGTAGGTCTATCTTNTTGCAATAGCAATATTGTATCCTTCCAAGGGAAGAAAGAAACCCTTGTTCTCGTTGTAGGCCAGTATGAAAAGCTGTAAAATTATGCAAGCAACAGAGTCAGANAGTCCAAAATAAACCTTATAGTTCTGTAATATTAAGATGTACATTGATGTGATAAGCATCTAAAAATTATTACAATTAGTCTGTTTACAAAATAATGTGCAATATTTGTTTTAATCTAGAACCAGTTTGGTTCATGTTGTTAATGCTTCTGTAATAATTTTAGATGTTTTAACAAATCAATGTACACCTTAGCATTAGTTAAAAGACGTAACATATATACAGTATGAATGACATGGTAACNGTTCCAATCAAAACGACCATCTTCAGAAGGGTATTATCAACACATACGGAAACTACTATTGCATGTCATACATATACTTATAATATATTTTAACTAATATTAAGATATACATTGATTTGTTAAAGCATCTAAAATTTAT